AAAATAAGAATATTTTTGTGTTTGTTTGCCCGGCCAGGAAATGGCAGTTGGAAAAGCGCACGTCAGACGAAATTCCAACAAATAATTGCAAACAATAATATTTTCGATTTACTTTTTATGCAATAAGTGGAGGTTTCCGTTTTTGCATTTCATAAAAAATATACACATATATGCATGTTATATTAAAGGCAACTCTTACTCGATTTACTCAAAATATACTGCTTTATAGCATTTACAGCGCAGCCACTTAAAAGTCAAATTACCAACGCGAACAAAAATGCTACTGGGGTTAGCCAACATCAACTATTTGGCTGGCTGTGGGAAATTTTTTTGACTGAAGCAATCTGTAAATTAATTTTACGCATCGCCTCAAATGAACGTATTTAAAAAATTTGTTTTATTTTTGAACAGTAAATAAAAAAGTAAGCGTGCTCTTGTCGAGTTTGCCCGACGAGGAGATGCTCTGAATTTTACGAAGAGCTGATATTCCAAGCATTTTACATGGACATGGACAGAAAGACAGACGTGGCTAGATCGGCTTGAGCTCTTGGTTCAGTTCAAGAATATATATACTTTATTGGGTCTGCCACGAATTCTTCAGTCTGTTACATACATTTTCACAGAGCCATTATACCCTAAGCTCTCATTTTCAACAAGTTCAGGGTATATAAAAAAGAAACTCTTAACAAAATAGGTATTTTGAGTTTCGTATATTAATTTAAATATCTTTTACCATAGCAAGCTTAAACAAACATACATCAAAATAATACTCTTCACTTTAAGTATCTCGATTAAGTTAGGAAATGTTTAAGAGCAAAAGTCTGTGAGCTTATATATGTATGTGTATACCATGATACAAATTGTGTATATTTCCAATCTGTACAAGTAGTAGATTTTTATGTGATTGGAAAAAGTTTAAGAAAAAAAGATAATTTTAGTCAAGTAAAATTCAATAATTAAATGCTCTCACTGAATGCCTGCAATAATCCCAGTAAGAATGTCTTACAAGGAAATTAAATTTTTTCCAATAGAGTCTCTAATCTTTGGCACGCTTAAGAATGTTCTTCTCTTTTGTTTAGCTCTCACATTTGACTATCCCTTCACATAGTATATATTTGGTTTTATAAATAGAATTCGTCCCATTTAGCTGGCCTCAAATGTATATATATATATAAATTATGTCGTAAGTTCATTTAGCCTTCACATACAAACAACAGAAAAACGTACATTTATTCTAATTTTCGGAGCTTTTAATTGTGAATCGAAGCCGTTGGACAGACAGATTGCAATTGTCTTAGATCAAATGAATATACTTGCTATTCAGCTATGCGGCGAGAGCTATTTAAAAATAGCTGCCTCTATTTATAATGCTCTAATTTGGTTTGCCAGCTATTCAGTTGCCGTTGATGAATTTATTTCTAGTTCAAAATTAAATGCGAAATTTTGTTCAAAATTGTTTTTGTTTGCTTTTAATTATAAAACCGCAATTTTGAGCGTCGTGTACGCTGTGTTGATAATAATTGATTGTTCTAGCTGTTGTTGTTGTTATTCTATTTTGTTGTTGTTGCTCTCTTTGTTGTTGTTACAATTTTACAGCTTTGCTGCTTTGCTGTTTATCAATTTTCAATGTTGACCTTCGCCTTCTTCACCTTTCTGTTTTTTTTAGTTAAGCCACATTAAATATATGCGGAGAGTGAGTGTTGGGCTTTTGCCGGCTGTTTGCTTCTGCCTCTGTTTTCACACCTTTGGCCTTTTGGGAGGCAATGAATAAGTTGTTGTTGCTGCTGGGTACCTGGCGACAACAGCGACAGTTGCCACACGAGAGCCAGAGAGAGCCACAAATAATTGTGGTTTGCACTTTTTAGGGAGCTCTCTCTCTCCCTTCTTCTCTCTCTGCCTATCTCTCTCTGTCTTTCGTTATATTTTGCACGCTTTTTAAAAACTTCTTTGGCCGATATAGCAAGAAAAAAATAGATTTTGAGCGCCATATCAATTAAATTAGACCAACGAGTGCGAGACGATCCCTGCCTGAGCTAATTAATTTGAAGTACATGGCACAAACAGGGCCGTGGCTCATTGATTAGTCAATGTTCAAAGGCAGTCAAGCTGATAAGCGGCAGCACACTTAACCCAATTACTGTATTGGCCAAATGATGATAAAATAATTGCATTTCATTTAATTTGATTTCAATTGAATTGTGAATAGAGGCAAGAAGAAATCGAGCACAAAGCGGAACGCAGCTAACTAATCATTTCATCGGGGATTCGCCGTTGCTGTTGCTCTTTAATTTCATTTTCAAGCAGTCGAGATTTCTACAGAAGCTCACGGTTCTGATTTTTCTTACTTTCTAATGGGGATAAAGTTTCAATGAAAGTTCAATTAGTGTAGCGAAAGTTGACGCAATAGACGGGAATAGCAGGCGAAGAGCTCAGAACTGGGAGTAAAACACTCACAATTAAAGTCTTTAGAAAATCGAGCTCATGAGAATGAGAATAGTTTTGCCTCATTCTAGCCTGTTTTTTTCAAAACGACCGAAACAATAGGAAAATGGCCAAACACAAACAACAGCTGCGTTGACTTTAACCAACTTTTCACCTATGGAAAGTTGTCAACATAAAAGCCATGACAAGTTTAAACTGATTTTTATTTATTCAATTAAATCTGTTAGCTGTAACAATTGAAATAGCTTGAATAATATTGAATTCCATTTATTTTGTTTTTACTATCATCCCTGGCAGATGTAGCAACTATGATTGACATTGCAATTTTGTTGCAAGCCGGCGAAAACAAGCAAAAAGCGTGCGTGTGGGTAAATGCTTTTTATTTTTTTTTTTTTTATTTTCTCGGAATTGTTATATATATAACCTTTCTAGTTTTTGCCATTCGTTATTTTATTGTTATTAGTGTGTGCAGATTTTAATTTTTTTCTGCTTCGAGCTTAAATTGTTTTTCCAGAACGTTGCTCGAACAAATTAAATTTGTCCTACATGTGAGTCATACGAGTCACGGTGGACTACCTGTATAGCACATCGATTTTTGTTCTTAGTGACATTCAGAAAGTTGTGTTCGACATATTCAGATTGAATTTTGAATTTTGTCAATTTGATTTCATTTTGAAATAGATATTCCCATGAATGGGAGTATTATGTTGGGCATCATTAAGCAAGAGCTACTCGCGTTGAATTCCTTTATCAGTTTAAATTATTTTGCTTTTGACTTTGAGCTGTAATTAATAACGAACAAGTGATAATTGATTGGATGGTCGCTGAGTCAAGTTAGACAAGTTAATCATCATTTTATTAGCTTTTTGAATAATATTTACAATTAAGTTGCTGTCATTGCAGCTGCCTCGGAACATCGTCACAATCATTAGCCTTGCCCTCCGTGTAGAGCGTTATATCTACTTAGGCCTGGAAGACAGTTGATGCCTTTGCATACTAAACTGAACTCCGTTCGGTCCATTGTTTGACTTTCCTGGTAAATGGATTTCTCTTGCTCTGCGTTATTTGAATTAATGATAATGTTATCAATTATTGTCATGGTGACAGTGTGCCGTTGTTGTTTTCTTTTAATTTTCGTTGATATTTTTGTCAATATGGACTCTGGAGCTGTTTGTTCGTGTGCCACGCATTTGACGTCTAATGATTAAGTGAAACATCATTAATATATTAAGTATCACGCCATGCTTAAAGCTTGTATATTTAATCAACTAATTTAGTTTTATATAAAATATGAAATGGCTCTCACGAATTTGTATTAGCGTTACTCAACAGCCTTTAACCTTGGTCTGCTCTGTGCTCTTGAGCCGACCACCCCACGATACATATTTCAGCTCATTAACTGCAAGAGTCGCATGTCAAAAGCCATTTGAACTTTTGCTCATTTGGGTTGGTAGCTAGCTAGTCGGGCTGGGTCCCAGCAGCCACAAACTTCCGTCTAGGCCTGCTAATTATTTTTATGGCATTTTAATGACTTAATTAAACAATTTACTTAAAACCCAACGATAGTTCAATTATGTAAACAGCTGCAACTCGCAACTGAGTCACTCTTCGCCGTCTGTAAGGCGGAATTTGTCTGCAGCTAAGATGCAAACAATTAAATGTTCATTAAAAACTAAGGCAAAGAGAATTGCAACAGCAGATTAAGAGCGGCAGCCGCATAACGAATAAAAATTGTTTGGCTTTGCGGCCAGCCGTAGTTGCAGCAACAAAGAATCTAATTGTGTATCAAGTGCAAGTGTGATTGTACTTGTGGGTGCTTGTTCAGCTGCGAATGTGTGAGTGTGAGTTTGTGTGTGTTTGTGTTTATTGGTATATGGGATGAGTGCATTTTATGCGCCAGTTAGCAATACGTTGAGCCAAAGGCGAAGAACGCCTTGCCTCACTTGTAAACTAATTCAATTAACAACTAAGCAGCTTAACATAAAGTGCCTTCAGTGATTGTGTACTCAGACGCGTATATGTATTGTAGGTGTGTACTCACTCATGTATGTGTGTGCGTGCGAGCAGTTGAAAAGGCTGACCCATAACTCACAATTCAGCCGTCTTAATTAGTTAGGTGCACGTTACAAGCCGTGAAGCCATCTTATGGATTGCACTTTAAACATTTGCCCATTGCTTTTGGTTAAGCAATGGCCATTAAGCCGATTGTGACATTTGTCAAACTGGCAAAAAGAGTGCGAGTGCGACATGGGGGGCTTGGTCTTGACTTGAATATCTGCTCTGACTTCTTGCCTGCTTTTGCTCTAAATTGTTTTGCACATTTCAAGCGACACTAGATTTTGGTCTTTAACTCCAAGTCTGTCTGCCTGTGACTCACTCTGACTGATTGTATAAGCAACGTCAAGTGCACGAAGCTCGCTTTTGTGGCTTTCGTAGCATTTTGCTGGCTTTTGTTAGCGGAAGCGTGCGGGCTTTAAAGAAAAACTGGGTTGAGCAGTTAATCAAATTGCCAGGCATTTGCATATTAATCAAGTTTTTGTTTTTTGTTCTCTTTGCAGACAATCGCCGTGCGGTGGAGTGAAGTGGGTGAGTAAAAGCGGCCAAACAATGCTGTGAATACGTTATTTTGCAACACTTACTTACGACTACTTATCAGAGAATTGACGTCAACTGGCTTTGTCGCGCTATCAGCATAAGTCGCAGCTTGGGTAGTTCCCACAGTTGTTTCTCTCTTATCTAGAAAACAGATAAATATGATCTTGCAAATGTCTCTCAGCTGTAAAGACTTATCTGAGAAACTTGTACTTGCCTATTTGCCTGCTTGATTCACACTCTTTATTTAATAAGCAACAGGCTGATAATTAGATACGAATATAGAATTGCATTGTGCTATTGGTCATGTGCTACTTATGATTTGAGTGCTTGCCTTAAAAGCAATTTTTTATCATTTAACTGGCAAATTTATTTGCTATACGCCCGGTCCTGAGCCGGGCCGCTTGTAATCGCAGGGGCTTTGCAGTGTATCAGCAAAGGCATTAGCATGTCAGGGACAGATAAAAATTGCGCATGGACAATGGAATTAAGTACATTTGCTCAAGTGTCTTGTATGCTAAATAAATACCAAATAACTTTGATAAATATTTGTCTGTTTGCACAGTTACCAAATGCAGTCTGAGTGACCTCTGGCATGAAAAGTTCTTAGAAAATGGAATCGGTAAATTTTCAAGCTATTCAATCAAAGACTTGGGCTAATCGAAATGTGTAACAAATTTAACGATTGTTAAATATATATCATATGTTCGTTCAGCCAAACAAATATTTACTATTCGGAATACATTTGCAATAATCATATTTAAATGACAGTCGTTTGTAAGGTCGTAGATAGCAGGCTCGTTAAATATGTGATGTAGCAGGCCTATGGACAAATATGTGTGTAGGCTGTTATCTCTTAATGCCAACACCATTTGTAGCATTTAATCGGATATCACAATTAAAACAACAATTAGCCGACTTTCACAGTCAGGCATAAAAAGTAATTTTCATTTTATTTAAATGCAATTATACTATTAACAGTATGGAAACTGCAAGTTAATAGAAATCTATAGCAAACAAAGGTGAATCGGCTGTCTCTATGTTTATCAGCCAGTTTAGGCTAGCAGCAGCTGCCTAAGTAAACAGACGAATTGGTAAATATTTGAGCTGTCATAACAAAGTTACACATACGCAACGTATGCCCAGCCAATGGAAGCCAACTGCTTTTTGTGTGATTGCAAATGTTTCCTCAAAAGTTTATTTACCCAATATTTGCATGCAATTTATGGTTTGCTTTTAGTTTAAATGTATTACGTGTGGCTTAAGCTGATTTGGGTATTGATTGCTTGTGAAACTAGATACAAATCTTTTTCCTTATCTAATGATTTTTAAATTTGTTAACTTTTTGACCCATTTTAAGGCGTACCTGACTTCTGACCTATATTCTTGTATGTCTCTCTCTCTCGGTCTTTCTCTGAGAAACTTGTTGTTAACAAAACTTTTACAGCGCCGAAAATTGAAAACGTGTGCGAGAAAACTAATTTGATGCGCAAATATTGCGCTCGAAACTTTAGTTTCAGCACTTTTTTTTTGTAGTTGTTACTAACTAACATTTGCTCTAATATTGCTAAAAGTTTCGTCGTTTTAGCTTAGATTGGTATTTGCTAATGATGAATGTTTTGCTGCACACATTGATGCTGCAATTTCGTATGCAAATTCTACGTGAAAATTGTCAAAAAAAATTTAAATAAATTAATTCTATACAATTATGCAAATGAGCTCAAATGGTCATGCCACACCAAAAGGTCAGCTGAAATTACAACAGCAACAAACAATGTAATTAAGCCGTTGTTGAGCCGCCCGCTCGCAATTAGCAGCGCGAGTGTTTCTGGTACTCGCTTCGGCCTCCCTCCAAAAAGGTGTCAACGTATTTAGCATGTCGAATGTTTCAAAACATGAAAAGCTACAAGAAGTGTTTTGCCAAAAAAAAAAAGAATATGCTAATTTTATAGGGGCCGGCATTGAAGCGTCGCCATAATTGAGCCAAGAGCCACAGCTGGAGGCCGCGGCCGCCTCTTCATTAGCATTAGGATTGAAGACAGACTTGTTCCTTTGTCAGCGCATAATTAGCGTGAGAATTTGGTTGCATTTCTTTCATTTGTGTCTTATCTTCGTTAAAGCATGTTAATTTCATTGTGTTATCATTAAAGCGGATGTTTGTTGATGTTTAACTGCAGTGAAAATGAATTTAGCTCTTGACTCACTAAGTAGATAAATCTTAAGCTTTGTCAAGCTTTTGCTTAAGATGTTTATTATAGCTTATAGAGTTAACCATTTCATTCCATTGGTTACTTCTTCAAGCCAATTTAAGACTGGATCACTATCGATAGAAATGACAAGTCACTTGACAGTTGCTTAACGGCGCCGCCACAACTTGTGTATTTATCCTTCTGAATTTGCGCCAGCGCACAAATATAGACCGTCATAAAGTAGCAATAATAATCCTTGAGCCTATGTCGACAGGGATTTACTGATTTTTTATTGACTCGCTCAAGAAGGCAGTTCAGACAGCCCCGCCAAGAGCGGCAGGCTCTGGCAAGGACGGTGACAGACAATGGCTGCTAACCCAATAAAAGTCGTCATCATAATTTTGTTGGCTTGACACATGAGCACTGGCAAGGAGAGTATAACAGCCTATAAATGCCCGTTGTCCATTGTCCCCATGCACATTATTCGCACATTTCGCCTCAGCTAATGGGCGTGGCAGCTGGAAAAGCTTTTTCACTTTGAGCGTCTGCTGCCAGTCGAGCCTAATCATTATTTGGCTGCCTGCTGGCGGCTATCGCTGTTCGAGCATTGCGAAGTGTTGATTTTTACTGCAAGCGAAATAATTTTTTAATTAAATTTTTACGACTCGCGCGCCCACAAAAACCGAAAGTAAAGCTTGTGACTTGCCCTTTTTTTAACGTAGCAGACGAGAAAATTATTTTTAAATGGGTTGGCCCGCAGGACACAAGGACAACGGCGTTGCCTGCGGACAGCTTTGCGTGTTTTGTACATTTCTCTTGGTCAAAGAAATGATACCAAAACAAAAAAAAAGGAAGCAAATACAAATAAAAAGAAAATGGGAAATGGGAAATGGGAAAAAGAGTATAGTAAATACAGTTTACCCTTTTGTTTTCAAAGGAGTTTGTCGTGTGAAAAGCTTAAAAGAAACACAGATTGAGGAGGTCTGGAATATATATCAATATATTTATATCTGACTGATTTTACAAGGAATAATATTAAGTATTTATTTGCATCGTTCATAATTCTAGTGAAAGCTTTTCCTATTCAAGGGTATTTAAATGTCAAGTTGTATTCAAGTTTTTTATTTCTTCTGCTAGTTTTTTGTGGCAAAGAAGCAGAACGAAGTGACCCAATGAAAAATGTCATTCTTTTTATTGCTTTCTATGCTTCAACATTCCCGCTCGAGTCCCAGTCCGCAGTCGAATGTTGCCATTTTCTACGTTTTTGAGTTTTAGGTTAGTTTGGGGTCACTCGTTGCCCTGGAACGGCCGCTTGGGCCACAAACTACAGTCATGCAAATGTGCAAAAATGTTTGTCCAGTCCGTATATTTGTGTGCGTGTGCAAATATTATTCAGAGGGACGGGCGGGGCGAGGCTGGCTGGCTGACTGCCTGGATTGGTTTCCCTTTGTCCACTTTCGTTGTAGTCCACTTTCAATGTCTCCAGCTCAATTCAATGGAAAATAATTGAATTTCATATATGCACATTACTTTGACATTCCAAAAATTATGCAAATTGAAATTCAATTGATTGGAAAATGTTACAACCCTCCCACACAGAGCGACGCCCACCTGATTTGCTTCGGCCATGGTCTAACTAACTTAGTCACGCATTCAATATGCCCTTTATATGGGCCCAGCCCAACGAACTCCGCCTACAATTCAATTCAATGTAAATATGTAAAGCTGAAATCAGACTGCTTTCCGTTGTCCGTAAATGGGCTTTAATCCCCTCATATCTTTTATCCTTTTAGGCTCCGCTGCAAAAAGGGACATGCTTTGCTTTATTCCATCACTTTAATGAGCCAAATATTTAACAATGAGAAAGCCTGGGCATGTTTCGCCAGCCAAAAGGCCCATTGTGCAAATGTATAAATACCATAAATTGTTCAGAGCTTACAAATAACAAAAGTCCTGCAAACAGAATGACATTTTATGTGTAAATACAGATATTTATAGTTTGTTGTTTAAAAAATGTTAAGTCCGCCTTAGTTCGAGAATTCCAGCATAATAAATTAATATAATGCCTGATTGATTCAACATTTAATAAATTTAAGTGACTGAATTGTTTGGCTTGAAAAACAATTCATTTGAAGAACGTAGCATTTTAATTTTCGGATAACAATGATTTATTGGCGCTTCAAAAGGACGTTCAAGCTGAGGTTACGCCAAAATAAATGCCAGACCAAAAGGGCTACACCACAGGAGCTCCGCAAATCGTTACGCTGGGCGTAATGGCCGCTTAGGCAACAATATAATTTCCACAGCTACACAAAGCGCGGCTGTTTGTGTAATTGAAAGGAACCATTCAAACAATGAGATTGGGCCATTGTAATAAAAGGTACACCATCAATATCAGTTAATTTGATTGATGGGAACGTGTTTTCAGCTCGATTCGATTTTCTGAGCGCCTAATCAACTGCGCTCTATTCGTGTATGCACATTTGGCAGCCCTCTGTTGGCAGTTGTCATTCCGACTGCCCATAGATTTGTATTGTGAACTAATTATGGCAGACCGGCAACAGTTCAGGTCTCATTTTACTTAATTAGGGTGTGCAGGGGATTGCAAATGGATCCTTACACAACAACAGCTGAACGACAAGTCGATAATTTGCGTTGCAAACAAAAGGAGGAAAACGTGTTTCGAGCATGGAAAGTTGACTTACCATCTAACATCTAATCGATTTCCCTTTGGGCTTCATAACATGGCAATAATACAATTTCATAGGGTATTCTGCTGAATGGACATTGGCTCTGTGTCAAGCT